ATACTATTACGGATATCGACGGCTATCCATTGTATCGCCGCCGAAGTGCTAATAATGGCAGCCACACATTCACAACACGAATATCAAACACTGAAATTAAAATTGATAATCAGTGGGTCATACCATATTCACCGCTGCTTTCAAAAGCATACAAGGCTCATATTAATGTCGAGTTTTGTAGTTCTGTACTGTCAATTAAGTACATTTGTAAATTCGTTAATAAAGGCAGTGATTTGGCAGTATTTGCAGTACAAAATGTAAATGAAAACGACGGACAACTTCGATACCAAATGGGTAGATACATCAGCAGTAACGAAGCCGCCTGGCGTATTTTTAGTTTTCCCACGAACGAGACCCAAATGTCGAGCATCTTGCAGTACACCTTGAAAACGGCCAACGTATTTTAATGAACGAAATGCTCTTCAACGATAATTTGAGCCACCGAAAACGACACTTACTGAATTTTTCACACTGTGCCAAAAACTGGATGTTTTCGGTCAATTTGTACGAACAATATTATATTCCGAGGTTCCGCGCTACTTTACCTGGAATAAGTGATGTAAAAAATGGAAGCCACGTAAAATGGGTGAGCCGCATCCAAAAATAGCAGGCATATTGAAAGCCAAGACTTTGGGACGTCTTTACACAGTACATCCAACACAACGTGAATGCTTCTTCTTGCGGTTGTTATTAGTAAATGTTCCAGGGCCAACGTCTTTCGAATTTTTGCGAACAGTAAATGGACAAGATTCATGTCGAGAGTTGCAGTTGCTGGAAGCCGACTATCATTGGGATCTATCACTTGCTGATGCAGCATTTGCATCTACGCCGAATAGCATTCGCCAACTGTTTGAAATTATATTGACGACATGTTATCCCACACAATCATCGGCTTTGTGGGGAAAATACAAGAACTATATGGCTGAAGACATACTGCGCCGAATTAGACACACAAACCAAGATCCAAACATTGATTACACACCAGAAATTTACAACGAAGCATTATGGTCTGATTATGCATACTTCGCATAACTTCGCACAACTTCGCATAAACTTCAAACTGTAATTTCGTATGTACTTTGTATGTATTTTGTATGTATTCCATTACCCAGAAATTAGCAGAACTATTAAAAACTTAGCGATCTGTTGATTTTAGATTTTGCTTCACATTTTCTTAAGTTACACTTTTAGTGCTCTGGTACAAATGGTTGTGCGAAGTTATGCGAAATATGCATAATCAGACCCTTAGTATTGATCGAGGATATATGTATTCTAATTTCAAATTGGCCACTTAATCATTATGGCAAGCCGTCATCTAATCGCCCGGTAGTGATCGGACTTTAAAAAAATTCTGTGTGGAAAAATCTGGAAAAAGATGTAGTAGATTTAAACAAATTCTGCAAGGTTTCACCTAAACTGCAAACTTTTTAATTAGACTCCAAAAAAAATTTAATTTTAGTATAATAAAGTGCAAGATTGAAGTTGCTAAAAATTGCGTTGAATTTTGGCAATTTTTTTCCTTGACAGTGTAAAGCAGTTCCTCCATATCAAGATATTTTTCGAACATATTTTAAGAAATTTCTGCAACCTTGTGGAGGGTGACAAGTAACAAGGTCAACGGAAATAAGGTCAATTGACTTTATTTCCCACCGTGGTGCGAAATAAAGTCAATTGGCATTATTACCTTTTCACAAGCGAAATAAAGTCAACAAAAAATTTGAAATAAAGTCACTGACGCTATTTCCTCATTCAAATGAAAATAGCGTCAACAATGCTTAACGTAAGTCGATTCATAGAAAAAAATTTTGTTCTTACAATAAACATTTCCCCGTAAGTGTTGTTTTTTAATAGATGAAAAAGGTTATTGCCAAATCCTCAGTGTGGTGCTATTAATCCACAACCAATCATGAACTACCACCATTTTATTTTATTAAAAAATTTAAAATTACGAATATATGTATGTAGTAAAAACACGATGCGAAAAACCAAACGCAAATCGCAGCTGGAATACCAGAAATATTTGAAGAAAGAGTGTAGAAATGATCTAGAACTTGCAAAACATGTTTCGTTTCCTCAAAAATAAAGCGAACACTATTAAATTGAAGAAACAGTCCATGTCCAAAAACCCCGGAGGACCACTGAAAGTATTCTGTATTTTAAATTAGCATATTTTGATAGAATTTGGAATGTCTAAGGTGGAAAAGAAACCAACCTTTCTATAAGGAAACAATTATAGAAAATTAATTTTCTTACACTGTATTCATGTCTCCGCCAGCAATTTGTGACATCATTTAAAAGCAGCTAAGGAGAAGGATGACACTATTTATTAGATGGCACATTCAACAAGCCAATGTGCCAAAATGCGGGTATAAACAATTATTGATTACTAGCTGTACCCTGCCACGGTTTGCTGTGGCATATTCCTGTTACATAGATGATAAATGATTAACGAAGCAAAGCATACGTTTCATATAAGTTTGTTTTTGTAATAAGTACTTGTCTGCACACAACATTTGTCGTTTTGCCATTCTCTGCATAGATATCAAAGATATCTGTTTTGCCGACACGGGAACATGCAACATCTGAGAAGCAATCCGCATCTAAATCTAAACCACACTTTTCCAAAAGTTGACCTTGGGTATTATTGATTGCGATTCCGAATGCCAATCGAATT